CTCTGTCAGACACAGGGGAAGCTTCTAGCATAAATGCTCACTTGTTTGTACCCAAAATAAAATAAATTTCATTTCTGAATGTAAAAAATAAATATTTAGTGAGTAATCTATCCTACTCTTTAATAAATTAAATATGATAAAAATGGCATAGGTATCCATAGTGATATATATAAAAATTATGTATACCCATAAGCATTTTTAGGTATAATTTTAATCTATAAGCATTCAATGTGTCTCTGAATCAATAGTGCCCTACTAAAGTAGTATCTTCCCAGTACAGTGCTGTTCCTCCTCTCTTCTTTTGCTCCCCACCGTTTTGTGAAACAAATTACAATCATGAATATAGGAACATCCTCAACTTATGCTGCTCTTTAGGTTCCTAGCAGAAGTCTAGAGACATATATGCTCAATAGCAGATCTTTAAATTACAGCTACTTTTAATACCACCACACTTTGTGTTCTTTATATGAAATACACATTTTCAGTATTTTTAGGTCATAAACCAGCAATGTATTGCTATCATTTGTGTATTTTAAACAGCACACGGTCCATAATTTCTAAACCAAAGAAGTTTGCTTTTTGTTAATCTATGAATTAATGCATTGGGAAGCTGTACTTTATGAAACTTTATGGTATCTGAATGTATTTTGCTCAGAAACCTAAATATGAGATATTTAAGCACATTGCACCTTTCTCTGATGCTTACTGATTTAAGGCAAATTGCAGCAAAGTTCTTTTGTTGATAAAACATGTCTGGTTTGGCATTCCTCTGTTGTTCCCTTTTTTCTGTTTTTCTTCTTGTGTTTTTTTTAACAGGTGATTATCCAGCTCCTCGTGCTGTTCTAACTGGTCATGACCATGAAGTTGTCTGCGTGTCGGTCTGTGCAGAGCTGGGACTTGTTATCAGTGGTGCTAAAGGTCAGAAATCTTTTTAAGTCTTAACATTTCTAGAGCCTTTTTTAGTGGTATTTCTCAGTCTTCTCTCAAGCCATATATACCATATATACTTTAATTACCCAAAGTCTCCTCTACTAAGACGTGTTGTAATTCTGGGGGAATCTGCAACAGCTTGCTCTGAACGTTATTACTTACTATCTGGACTTACAGAGTTTAGACACAAATTAAGTTGATTGTTCCTTCCAAACGTCAGTCTATGCTACTGTCCCCCCACTCTAGATCAGAAGAGTAGTTGATAAAAATTTATACAATGATTCAGAAAGACATCTACTGATTTTGAAGAGAGACTTGTATTTAGGGGAGGGCCATCTCCAAGTTCTCCACTCTGATCTTTACTGAATGGCAGTTTGTAGAACTGACCTCAGTATCCTCAGCAAGGGAAGCAGGGTCAATTGGCTTGGTTTTGGATCTGTGGACAGCATTTCATCCAGAAGGGTTTTTGTTAATGGATTCCAAATAACGAGGACTTTGCAGTTTTGTTGTTACCTCTCTTCTACTAAACTTTTTGAGCCATCTGCTCACACTTTCTCCCTGTTACTTATCTGTGGAATCCAGAGTATCCAACAATTGCTAATACAAATGTTCAAAATACCTTTCCAAACCTGCAGCAGTCTTCTGTATAACTGGTGGTCAACATAAATAAAGCACTGCCTCAATAAGTGTTTGCTTCATCTTTCCTTATTCTGTTTCTCCTTCATTTGTTCTGGTTCACTTGTTCTGCCCACCTGCTTCTTTTCTCCTTAATTCCATGTCCACTTTTCTTCCTCCACTGCCCTCTCTCGTTCAGCTTCTTAATTTGGCAAACTGCATGTCTTTTTTCCTTTCCTATTGGCCTCCCCCTCCTCCTCCTCTCTTACTTTCTTTTGTGCTGCATTCTCTCTTCTCCTTTCTTATTTGCTTTCTTTACTTTAGCCCTGTCATCCCTTAAGGTTCTTCTTCCTTTATCTCTTCCTATCTCATTTCCACTCCACTCCTACATCCGCATTCAGCTACTTGCTTTCTCTGTCTACAGCGATGCCTGTTTTATTCATCCCCATGGATATCCTTGTACTCCTTTTTAAAAAGTTTGCTGCTTCTGAGGCTAAGAAGGATGTGATTCTTGTTCTGCCCGCCTTTGCTCACAACTGAGCTCTTGGGTTATCATCTTTTATACTGCCTCAGAGCTCAACATTTATTTTCAAAGCTGAGCGTGAAACTTTTGAGTAAAGGCACTTTTAACAGGAAATCCTAATGGGTCATTAATTCTCATAATGCCATACTACATAACAGTCATAAATGAAGTCAAGGCATTCATGAAAAGAATGTACGGTGATGCTGAACCTAAAGTTTTTTCTTGTAGCACTGCTATTTTTTATCTTTTAAGGCAGATTTATACACTCTTACTGCCATAATAGTGACCCTTTCCAACTATCTTTTTGGAGATTTCCTCTTATTAAAATAGCTGCAATCTGTACTCTGTTATCTTCTGCTTCATTAAGTATATGATGCTTTGGTAACTTATGTATTTTTAGCGTAAAGGCTGCTAGAGGACCAAAGACCTTTACATCAAATCCAGAATATGTTTGTAATTGATCAAGAGAAATGGAGGCCCCGTCTATCCCTTAAGTTACTTTTCTCGTGTTCTTCCTCTTCAAACTCTAGTCCATATATAAATGCAGAGAGAAAATCCTTTTTTTTTTTATTGCTGTTTTCCAGCAGATGCCTATTTTAAACCTTCTTCTTCAGTTTCTGTCCTTTCCAGTCCCTTTGCAGTTTCTTAGATTGCATTTCACGGCAGCACTGCATTGCTCTTCTGTCCTGCCTGAGCGCTGCCTCTGCTCCCTCGTGGGGAGGCTGTCCCTCCAGAGCTGGCTGTGGCACTGCGATAACACACACAGCATGCCAGAGAACCTGCTGAGGCAGGGAGACAGCACATTTAGGACTCCTCGGAGAAAAATCCTGTGCATCAGGTTGATGTTTGCACGTTCTTATCCAACAAACACAAAAAAAGAGCAGTCAGTCTGTATGTCTTTACAGTAGCATCCTAAATCAGATTTTCTCTGTCCCTTTTCATGTCCGTGACCGATCAGCTGAGCCAACATAGTGGCAGTTTGTCATGCACTTAAATATGAAAGTATTACACTTCTCTTTTGAAAAATCTAACATGGTAATTATTCTAAAGGTGGAGGCATCACTTCTTACAACATTCTGGCATTTCAGCATTTCCAAAGCTGAAGCTCAACTATTTGAGAAAATAAATTAATCCCACTGCAGTCATATCCCATGGACCCCATCAGGCTTGGGATCTCTCTTCATAAAGCTCTGTGCAAACACAGATAAAAACCTGTACCAGAGGGCTCGCAGGTGAATGCACTGATGCTGTGATTCATTCTACCTGGGCAAACCCAGCTGCTGTGTGAATTTCAAAGTTAGAAGGGCTTAATATGAGGTGGCTGAGTCTGCCAGTATGAATTTACTTTCAAGGTCATGAGCTAGTTATATAAGGAAGAGATTACTGTGCTGTCCAGGAGTATCCTGTGATTTATAAAAGAAAACATTTAGTATTTACCATGACTCATTACATTTGCCACAGAAGAGACTCTTTTTCTTAGTAGGAGTACAGATCTCACTTTCAAAAGAACTTTTCTCATAGATCTTGAAATGGAAATAGTCTTGTTTTGCATCTTAAAATGTACATTGTAGATTTCATAGCTGGTTTTTTTTCTTCCATAAAAAGACATTAAAATCTCTCTGGAGTAAATGCAATCATAGTGTGGTCTCCTAAAAGTGCTTATAGTCCAGATATCGTAGTAACTCTGTTGGCTGGCAGATGATGCCCATTGTTAAAACAATTCAGAACTGCAATGTATGCATGTAACACATTCATTGGGGGAGAGGACCTACAGAAACTGCCATTGTCTATAGGAGAAATATGCAGTGATACGATTATATGCCCTCTGGGAGTTGCTCCTACTAGTCACTGATAGGGCCCCATCTGTTTAATGTGAGCGGGCAGGCTACAGAGAGTTGATGTTGTTGGAGAAAGGCAGTAAGACTGTGACTTCTGAATGCTCGGAAAGAGGAAAGAGTATTTTAGAAGATAGATCAATGAAAACTCCTGCCAGTTTAAGTAAATAATAAACTACCACTTTTAGGCATGTTGTATCTATTTTCTTAATATGCTAGCTCTTGCATTCTTTTTCTGTTGCATATTTTAAACTCTTTAAGCAAACAATGCATCTTCTTATATCTATGCAGGACTAATGTGATATAAATGTGTATTATGCATTGCCTTTGTGCACAGCCTATATAGTTTGTATAAGCATCAAATGTATGATATATTTTGTTTTCATATACAGAAGGTCCTTGTCTGGTACACACAATTACTGGAGATTTGCTGAGAGCCCTGGAAGGAACAGAAAACTGCTTGTATCCTCGCTTAATTTCAGTATCTAGTGAAGGTCACTGCATCATCTACTATGAACGAGGCCGGTTTAGCAACTTCAGCATTAACGGCAAACTCTTAGCTCAGATGGAGATCAATGATTCAACCAGGGTAAATCTAAATGCAAACAAACATTTGTTGTGTCTCGCCTTTATTTATTAAAATAAAATGAATTTATTTGCTGTGCGGTTTAAAGGTAATCACATATGTAAAATTGCTGCCTCCTGGTTAAGTCATATTCAAACACAGATCCTCTTGTCTCCATTTCCAAATGCAAAAATGCGCTTGAGCTTTTCCAGAATAAATAAGAACAAATTTTTTATGATGCCACATGATTCCTGGTATTTTTGTTTGGAATTAAATTTCAGTGGGAAATAAGTCTTTAAATCAAAATGCTCTGAAAAGAGTCCATTCTTCATTTATTAGCCAAGACATGAATTTGTGCCTTCAGGGCTCTGCTCTGTCACTAACACTTGAAGTAACATTAGGAATGCAGATCGCTGCTCTGCTTTAGGTGTTAGTGATGGCACTGAGTATTGTAGGATAAACATCAAAATGTTATGCGCTGAACTCAAGTCTTGGCAGATTCAGTTAAAGAGCTTTTTGGTTATATATCATGTTGAAAACCACATAACTTTTATTTAAAATTTGGAGATCCAAAATTTGTTGGTTTATTTTTTTGACTGGGGAGAAAGAGGAGTGGGAGCATTTTTCTTCAAATTTAAAGTGGGCAGAGCAAAAGAAATGCTTCTAAGTTGATGACATTATTGTAATATTGACCTGTTCCCCGAAAAGCTAACTATGTGCTTGGGTTTTGTCTTTTTCTCCTGAAGGCCATCCTCCTGAGCAGTGATGGACAGAACCTGGTGACAGGGGGAGACAACGGTGTAGTGGAAGTATGGCAGGCCTGTGACTTCAAGCAGCTCTATATTTACCCTGGCTGTGATGCTGGCATAAGAGCTATGGATCTGTCTCATGATCAGAGGTGGGTTAGTTGTTAATATTTGTATGTAAACGGTAAAATTGCACAAAGTATACATCTCTATGAACTTTAAGGTATGAATTTATGGTATGCACTCTTTAACAGGATATGGTACAAACCCATTACCCTAGCTGTTACCTTGTTGGTTTATCTGACTTAGCACTTTTTCTGATCCCTGAGTCTCATAGTCCAAGCGCTTAACATTAAGGTGAGGTGTTACATCATTTAAGTCAGTAAACCAGAGACTCAGCTAGCAAAATATGAGTAAAATTACATTAACTTAAGAACGTAGGAACAGTCAGACTGGATCACAGTGCAGTAGTGCCTATTAACCAGTGCCTTAAAACAAATTACAAAAGTTTGTGGTACATTTCTGATTTTCAGCTATGTATAGCTCGAGAACCTTCTGGGGTTGCATCTGGATTATAATGTTTAATATTATCAGAGGCTTTATCTACCAGCAGTGAGTGTGGTCCTTTCCTTTGACCTTCTTGAGGAATGGATGTGCAGTGTACAAGCCTAGATTTTTGCAGTCACTGTAAATGTAAGAGATATATGAACCTGGTCTTTCAGTCTTCTATTGTAATGTGATTATAATGTAAGCCTATATGTTGCATTTATGCAGGGTTATGAGTGGATTTGCTGTTTTCATCATGCATCAGTCTTGTATTTCTTATTAATATACAAACTCATGAGATGCAGAGAATTCACAGGATATTAGGAAAATCATACAGCATTCATTTCAGTTTATTTTTCTTACACTTTTCATCATTCCTATGCTATGTACCCATTTTGCAAAGCAACAAAAACACCTATAAACAAAAGACGTACCTACTTTACTCATGTATGAGTAGATGACTTGAAACAAGTTTTTTGTCTCAAACTAGTCTAACTGAAACTTAGTGGAAGAGGCTTATTTGCTTCTGGAGCTTTGCCAGTTTATGCATACAGTATTGAGCGCTGTTTGAAGAGATTTATTTACACTGCAAAAAATTTCAGCTAGCCTGTTTTCTCTATCCCTGATTGCAATACCAGGCTGGGAAGCCCCACCTATGCAAAGTGCTTTAAGTACCTGCTTAGCTTTAGTCACATAATTAAGCAGAGAATGACTTTTGTATGGTTTGATAGAAGTGGTGATAGATACCTAATCCAATTTTAAAATTCAGCTACCAGAATTAGAGGATATGTAATAACTAGAAAATTACCTCAACTGGTACCACCAGAACAACGTAAATATGGGGCTACATTTCAATATGAAGCTTTTTAGGAGTACCAAGGTGTGATCAACTTATGATAAAGGGATCAGTTCAGTTGTCTTTGCAGAGGCATCTCATTCTGTCTGGAAGGCCCCAGGATACCCAGCTGCTCCCAGCTGCAGCCCCAAGTGCAGAGTGCTCCACAGGTCCTGTGTCCCAGCTGCCAGCCAGCATACACGTGTCAGCCATCCTGGGGCACCTCCAGTGGCACGAGGTGCCTAAAATTAGGCAGCTGGGTTCTAAAACATCTAAATGAAGGTGTTGCAGCATAAGTGTCTTCATGTGAGCTATGGGAATAAGCTCCCATAATAACTGTGGCCATTTACTTGCTACAGCTTGTGGAGTCTAGAAGCCAGTTAAGCTCACTCTAAAGGACGTGCCCAGTGACCCGCAGAGAGCTGGTTTCAGGCTGCACTAAGGGTACTGATTAGGGCCTAACTGGGTTTCCAACCCTTAGCCAGTTAGTACTGTTTGAGAGACCTCAGAGGTCTGAGGTACGTACCTGGGGTGGCACATATGACAAAGGACCTAATGAAGACCCACACCCTACTGGAGAGGCAGATGTGAGGGCACCTCAGGTGACATGATGCTTTTACCTATGTGAAGGTGATTGCGTGGACCTCTAGATCTCCCTTGACTACAATGGGAACATGGAAAATTGGCTTATATGTCGACACCTAAATGCAGCATCTGCATCGCAAGCTGAACCCACCCATGAGCTTAATCTTCAGAGAGTGTTGCAAAAACTGCCTCGTTCTTTTACCTTTTTTACTGTTTATGGTAACCCATCATTTAGGAAGGTAAAAGAGGATTAACAAGACCATCTTTTCTATCTTTTTTCAGAACTCTGATTACAGGCATGGCTTCTGGCAGCATCGTAGCTTTTAATATAGATTTTAACCGATGGCATTATGAACATCAGAACAGATACTGAAGCGGAATGAAGAACTGAAAGCCCAGGTAAAGCTGAGAGCACAAGTGCTGCAGTGAAAGGTGTAGTCTCTGGTGGAAAACCACGTCTGCATTGACCTCCGTTGTACATTCCATTACACCCAGCAATAGCTGTACATTGTAGTCAGCAACCATTTTACTTTGTGTGTTTTTTCACAACTGAACACCAGCTGCTGAAAAGCAAGCTTGTATCATGTAAATTATATGAATTAGGAGATGTTTTGGTAATTATTTCATATATCTTTGTTTATTGAGGAAAGGTAGTAGGATGCGCCGCAAGAGACTTTTGAAAATTCTGGGGAACCTTGTGTCCAGTTGTTTCAATGTTTAGGCTTTGAACCTAACATGCATCCCATCTCCAGCCTCTTTTCAAGCTGAGATTAAAAAAAAAAATACGTTTGATACTTTGTACATCAGATGCACATCTTAACTTTAAAGGGATACTTTTGTAAAAGTAAAACCTTGTATAAAGAACAAAACTGTTTCTTAATTTTATTGTGGAGTTACAACTTGCATGTACTTTAAACCTGATGTCTTGAAGGAACAGGTGCATTCACACAAATCAAACTGGAGATTTGCCTGAGGGTACAGCTTGTGTTAAAAGGTTGAATTTGGGCGCAAACAGTAATTTTGACATTTCCACCAACACATGTTTTTCTCTTTTTGAATCTAAACTTTACCCCTCTTAAGTGGAGTTCTGCTCATGAAGCATTTGGATAAAAAGCCATCATTTGCCATATTTATACTTTATACAATAGAAATTAAATTCCTCCCTTTTAAATTCAAAGACTAGACAGAAAGGGAGCAAAGAGGGAAGTTTAGTTGAATGCTTTGTAATGCTTAATGACTCCCAATACAGACAAAGTGCTATACTTCTGGATTATTAACATTTGGCATACAAACCGTGGGCGAGAGAGCCCCCAGTGATTTTTTTTCCCTTATTTTTCCTCTGAGCAGCTTGGTTTATTTGACAGCCTTAGCTTCATTGTAAAGGTGACTGAGGTTATTCTTTTCAGTTCTTCTGAAAATCTTACCTGAAGCCACTCAGACTAAGGCACTTCATGTTTTACAATCCTGTAATGATAACTATCGGAATAATTTTCTGCACATCGTACTGATCAAATTACACACCCAGGGGTATATACACTTTAATTCATGTTTCTTCTTTGTATATTTGGTGACTGTATTGTCATAGATGTACATATTGTGTCGGTAGGGCTATGAGGCATGTAACAGGAATGTAATTTTCTCAGAATTTACACTCACTTGCAGTCATTTATTTAAAAAGATAATGGATTCTTTGTATTGGCACTTTGCACCAGAAACATATCATTATTTATTGATGTGATTACTTATTTGTTATCCACCTTGTATTAGTAAGTTTAGCACTGAATTTCCTTCTTCATTGTTGTTTGTATTTATAAGATTCTGAAATCATGGGGATCAACGTAATGATTAAGTTATTCATCACCCGTCTGTAAGCAATATCTTGAGTTTGTAGCTTAGAATTGGGAGACTATCGAACATCTGGAAGACAAGTTCATTTCATCTTGAGATCATGGTGAAATATTTTGGATATATAAATTCCTTAAGCTATTGTAACCATGTTTTATTGCAAAGATGTAAAATATGCCAGATGTGTGTGAGTTGGAAATCAAAAAGAAAAATAAAATATGCAAAGAATTCAGTGATTGTTTTTCATTTCAATAAAGTTTTCATCGAAACATTCACATTACCATTAGGAGCAAACTATTATTTTAAGAAATCCTCTCTTATACACTATGTATATGCCAAAAAATTATGCATGCCTGGGTGGTTGTTTTTCCTGGGGTTTCAGGAAATAAACCAGAGGTTACAGAGTGTGTTTTGCAACTCTTTTGATTCTCAGTACACAAAGAGAAGCTACTAAAGATACTTTGATCAGCAGAAGTGAAAAATCCAAGCCTTTAAGGGATATTTTGGATCCCTGTGAATGGGCAATAATCTTGTATAATACCTCACACAAAACAAAGATCTAATGGGAGCCATTTTGGATATCTCTCAACATCTGAAAAGATGGAATTAATTTAATCTTATTTTAGACATTGTAAGTTAGAAATCTACACTCCCTGCATAGAGGAATGAAACAAGTGGGATAAATTGCCTTTCGGAAATGCCGAAGTCCCTACGAAGATTATAGCAAGTAAATGGAAATAGATAGTTTTCTAAATGTCAGATGTCTCATTTAAGGTAGCAAAGGTAAGCAAAATAATTTCCTCATAATTAGAGAACTCCTGATTGACTAAAAAGCAAAATAACAGCCAACCCTTCCATTTGTTGCCCTGCTCATTGCCTTTCCATTTAGAAGGACTGTTCTTTAAACAGTTACCAAAATGAACTAAAGCCAATATTAGGGATCTTATTAGAATACAGTATACATTTTATCAGATATCTATTCATAGCAATCAGTTTTTGAGGTGGGTAACCTAACTTGGTTGTTTTGGGGCTGGAGGAGAGATGAGGGAGGAAATGAGAGGATTGGTATATTAATAATGGTGTGTGAAACAGTTTTATTGATATGCCACAACCTCCATTCCATTAGTATACAAGTATCACCCCTAATTTCATATTTTATTCAAAAAATTGATTAAAAAAAATCACCATTGCAGTTAAGCAATAAATGAGTATTACTATTATCTTAATGCTATTCTTTGCATGAAGTCTCTCAGCGTTATGCAAAGTATAATTTAGTCACAAATTAGAAGTTTTTAAACCCAGGCAAATCTTTGTATGAGAAATTTGCCATGGGTTACAAAGAGAAAAAAAAATCCTTCTCTATTGCATTCATAAGGAGGGGTCTCCAAACAAGTAAATAATAATA